TCATCACCAGTTCCGGCAGCGAAGCCAAGATCAAGACCAATAGAAGATAGAGGAGTTTGTAGATGTTGTATCCAAGGGTTTCTGTGATCTGAGCGACACCAGCTGGCAAAAGGGGTATCGGCAAGAGCGGTGTCGTCTCGGTAGGCATTTGAGATGGTTCGGTAGGCATTGGAGATGGTAGTAGTGGTTCCTGGTCAAGAGCTACTAACAAGTGCAAATAAAAAATCTGCCGCTTTGTAGGCGCCCCAGGAGCCCGTAGTCAGTCAAGAGTTCATGAGCTTTCCCAAGTACATCATCGAAAATGGCACAGACACAAGACAAGCTCGAGGATTCCGACCTTGTAGCAATTAAAGCCTGTATGCCGCATTTTATCTCGTCTCTGCTATTTCTGACGTTCAAAATTATGTAGCACTGGAAACCGCTGCCCCACCGAACCTGACTTCAATCCCGGCGTTTCTGAATGCTGCATCAGTTCTCGAGAGTTTCGCCCTCAAGCAGCAAAAACAACTCTGCGACAGGAATTGAGCTATGCACTGTATAACCAGCATGCTGGTGGCGCGTCTGATTCGAAAGCGCGACGCGGCCAGAGAGTGCGTCGAACGTCAATCCAATCTGTTCATTTTTCTCATTTGTTCTAGCTCTTGGCAATGTTCAAGCGACCATGGACATCGCGCCTTCTGGAACTGCTGCAGAGGATGTAGATATGAACGACGACAGGGGAATACTGTCAGCCATGCTAGGGGATCTTGTCGCACAGTTTGACGAAACTCAGCGCTGTCGTCTGCTCGCAAAAAAGGAAGCCCCCGCCCGAGTATGTTACCGCCGCTGAAGTGAAAACTATTCCTTCCTCTCCAGCTAGAATAACCTCCCTAGCAGTTTCCAGCACCAACCCATCGCAGTTCTTGACGGGCGGAAACGACAAGATTGTGCAGCTCTACGATCGCAGCACTGAATAAGTATTGGCTGGGCCATTCCAAAAAAATCAATCATGTCGCGTTTCGCGAAAATGATGGAGATCTACGCTACCACTTTCTGGTGGTGCCGACAGGATCGTAAAAGTATGGTCGCAAAGAGCGGGATTACCGGACTGGCTGTTCACCCGAGGTGCCTTGCTTCCGCGGATAAGTCTTTCTACTGTCGTTCAGTTGTTCCAATCTGCCCCCTCCGACGACGTATTCTCAGCCTTTGTAATCCATCCCGTTGAGAGTCACCTTGGGTTCGGAACACTGACCCTAAAAATTTACGTTTACGACATCCGCACAGGAACAGCCGCTGCGACCCTTGAGCCCCCCCCCCCCCCCCCCCAGGCGCTGCGCCTTTCACTGTCAACACCCTGTCGTTCTCCGAAAACGGCTACCACGTCCTTGCCCCAAATCCACTTTCTTCTGTCGCTATCTGATGGAGGTTACTGCTATCTCAACAACGCCGTTGTTGCCATCCAGGCGCTGCGCTACCACCATGCTGCACAGCGGCTGCAACAGCAAGAGATAGATGAGCAACCTGCTCATCCGCGCATTACTGTCCTCGACCTCGACTTCCATCACGGCAATGGCACGCAAGCGGCCTTTTACGAGGACCCTACCGTACTGTACATTAGCATCCACGGGGAGGGCGAGTACCCTTACTACACGGGTTATCCCGAAGAGACGGGCACTGGGCTTGGTGCAGGATTCAATATCAATTTGCCGCTCGCTATGGCCACGGCCGACGAATATCTGGACAAACTGCAAGTTGCGGTTGACCACATGAAGGCGTATAAGCCGGAGTACATTGTGGTCAGCCTGGGCTTTGACACGTTCCGGGGCGACCCGCTGGGTAACTTTATGATTGACACGCCAGACTATGAGCGCATTGCGCGAAAGGTCCGCGAAGAGGAGCTGTTGAGTGGGACGCCGAGCTTGATATTACTGGAGGGGGGATATATGGTAGAGAAGCTGGGCGTCAATCTCCTGTCGTTTTTGAAAGGTTGGGAAGGACTTGCTTAAATAAATAAAAAAGACATGTTGGAACTTACACTGTTCTTGAAAGCAATTGTAGGCGTTGTAAACAGGCGTTAGTCCCGGGTCAGAGAGCCCTCGAGCTGCTGAACAACAGCATCACAAAAAATGTCCGAGCCCGAGTAGCGGCGAATGATCGCTCAGTTGGCACCTGTGAGGCTGTGACAGTTCGCGTTTGCCTACAATCACCAACGTACAGGGTTTTCCAGGCTCGTCCTACTACCCAGCCTGTTTCCTCGACGCCGATGCCTCCATCTGACGTACCTGCCGCTCAGCCAATCCCAGTTCCGCCACTGACCACAGAAGAAGGTCAATCCGGACGTCGTCGTTTTTCGTGATACGGGTTGAAACAAAACATGTGTTCTTAGACCAGATCATTCTTGCTCGCATAACCAACGATGAGCGGCCGCTCAGACGGGTGATAAAGAAGTTCTACAACTACACTGCGCTTTCGCACACGCCCCTCGTCCCTCAGGTGCCCGCGCCCGGGGCAGCGCCTGCACCATCTGTGGACGATGCGCGGGAGGCTTTCTTGGTGGAACTCGCGTCATTCCAGCTGATCCTGAGGAAGAGCGTTCTTATATGTGAGGCGGAGGCACGGCAGGTTGAGGAGTACAATCGAGAAAAGGAACGAATCGGTGGGTTCACTCGTTGCTTATCTGTCCACGATTTTACCCATTCATTAATACGACACAAAGACCTGGAGCATGGCACCTTGCGCGGCCAAATAGAGGAGCTCAAGACGGGACTAGAGCATGAGCAGATGTTGCGGAAGAGAAAAATGGAGTACGACTTTGTGGCGGAGAAGGTCAATACACTCCCGAGTCGCGAAGAACTAGAGCTGTACGCTATGTTTGCCAACAACGGCGCCCTCACGATGACTAACAACGAACAGGAGTATTAGGTCGCTCGAGAATGACATGGCTACCATCCGCGCCGAGCACGAAACGCAAAACCGCATGATCCTAGCCCAGAAAGCAGCCCTGGATAGTATTATCCGGAACCTGGAAGCATTGAGATCTTTGGGCAGGGATAGGGAGACCACGGCCTCCGCTGACTCTGATATGTCTCCGAGGGACACCCCTGGCCCTGAAGCTGCGGCCGATCCTGCCACTAGTGTCCCCGAAAGTGATACAACAGTACCACCAGACATGGAGGTGGAGGAAGGAGAGGAAGAAAGTGTATCGGATCCCGTACCACCTGTCGAAGAAGCGGGAGATGATGACATCGAGATGGGGGAGGTCGAGGAGCCCAAAAACAACCTGAAGGGCAAGAAGAAGAGAGAAGAGGAGCTAGAAGAAGGTGAAGCCAGCGACGAGGCTAGTGATGAGAGTAGTGTATTATCAGACGTTCCCGAGGGCATCTGAATATATTATGTTTCTGGTGGTACGCTGATGGTGACGCTCATCAAGTCCCGCGCACATATTACTTCCTTGCCATATACCTCGGCAGCCAGTCCCCCAATCGTGTCCATGATTGCCTTCGAATCTCGATTGACGTCGTCATCCCCAGCGTATTTAGAGGAGAAGTGATTCAAGACAAGCTGCTTCGCTCTAATGCGCTTCGCAAAAGCCCCGGCCATTTGCGGCGTGGAGTGTCCCCTTGATTTTGTACGCGCCTCAATGGACTCGAATGTGTCGGTAGCCTTGGTTCTGTCATCTACGTCGGGTAAATGCGCGTTCGTGGCCTCATGAACCAGCAAGTCAGCGTCGAGTGCTAAAGGTTCGATTGGGGAAGGGTCGTGAGTGTCACCCAAGATGACCAGCTTTCGTCCTGGCCGACGAGCAGGTCCGTGAAGGACAGTTCCGTCGCTGAGCTCGACGCTCCCTCCTTGCTGCAGTTGGGACATCACTGACATGGGGGTGCCCGTCCGCCTGAGCTCAGGGATGTATTTTTTGGGGTCTATCTTCCCGGGGATAGTGGGTTCATTGACGACGTAGCCAATACACGGCACAGAGTGAAATATTGGGGCAGCTGAAACGGAGACGGTGTCGTTTTGGAAGATGTCTTTCCATACACCATCGACTTGTTGGATGTTTCGGCCAGACGGCGACTCTGCGCGGTGACGACGGACATTTGTGAAGTCGCCAGTTTTCGGGTCGCCGGGCATTCGCAGCTCATGCACCACATAGGGGCAACTGAGCAAAGTATACGTGTGTGTAAAGCTTGAGCGAACGTATGAGCGTGTCCCTAGCGGTCCATAAATTTCTAGAACCTAAGCTGCGTCAGACTCGGAACGAAAGGTGAGTTCCGTGCTCACAGGGTTGTTTACATCGAGGAACTCTCTTGGATCTTCCTCTCCATCCGCTGTACCACCAGCTCCATTGAGGATACCCGCAAGAAGTGGGGCGACACCAAAAACATGGTCGCCTGCAGGATAAGGGTGGTGACGGACAGACAGATGCAGAGACTCACCGTGCAGATGGGTGATAAATATTTTCTCGATCCGTCCCATTTTCACTACACTCCTCTGCAACTGCCTCTGTGTTCCTTCTGCGGTACATGAGGAAGCAGATTCAGGACCGAGATTCTGCGTACCTCCACAGTCAAACAGCCAGACATCACCGCCCAGCCGCAGAGCAAGAGACGAATGGCTGCGCGTTGACGAGGGTTGAGCGGAGGCCGTCCCAAGAAAAGTTAATTGCATGTCTAGAGCCTGTCTGGGGCTCGCCGTTTTGGGTGCACTTGCGGCCATATCCTTCAGAGACGTTAAGGTATCTGGATGATTGAGGGTGCTTGCACCAACTCTGCAGAACTGTCGTGCGCCAAAAGATGCTGCGGCTTTGACGCTGTTGGCTACAAGTGCCATACACGACTCACTATAGCAGTGACTCGGACACGACATGAGTCAAAAAAAAAACCTAGATTGAATCAACGCGTCGCGATGAAAACTCGCAGACAAAACTCGTGCACGTTATACATATGTGCAGAGGTTTCTTCTGCAAACAAATGCGACAAGGTAGCCAGTAAAAAAAAAAAGAAAAAAAAAACCAAACGTGATAATGTCCGCGGGGTGGATCGAACACCCGGCTCCTCGGAAACAACTCGGGTACACATACCACAACGAGGTGATTTAACCACTAATCGACGCAGACCGAAAGACAGTGCCCCAGTTGGATAGTAATCCGACTCAGAAACACAGTCCACCTCGAGGAACACGGATTTCTCTATGTATTGTGTCTTTGCGCAATTCAAAGTTGCTTCTAAACGCAACAACTCACAGATACTCTCATCAATACTCGTCACTGACTTGCAAAGCTTCAGAGCTTCAGACCTCAGGTCGCGGAACAAAGATCACGTGATCGCGAATATTGTTGTTGAACCATTGCCAAGACTTGGTCGGGTATAGGAAGGAAGGCTTATACTCTTATCTCTCTTACTGACCCCCTGCCCCTGTGGTGGCACCCATGGCCCTCAGCACATCCCCGCGCAAGGTCATCCCCCTTTCGACTGGCGAAGAAACCCGCTCTCGCTGCGAGTCGATTGCTCCAGGTCTCACGAAACGCGTTTTCTTCTGCGGCGTCGTAGTAGAAGGCTCCGAGAGTGGCAGAAGGCTTCCTGAAGGTCCGATTTCCAGAATATCCAAATACCGGGCTCACTCACTCTCGTGGCAGGCATCCAGGATCTTGTGCTATCCCTTGGAGAGACAGTGGCCTCCGGCTCAGATAGCGATATTCTCTCCGCAACGCCCGATCCCGGTACAGACAACTCAGTGAGTCCATTGGACTCCTGTTGGAACGTGGCCTTGCAATGGTTTCACGCCGAGCTGGGTCACTCTAATATATGCTCACGAACCCCACCGCGCCACGTCGTGAATCTTGGTCCCCTGTTGTGCCAAATGGATCCCCTACCATGCCCTCTACTGACTTGAATCTTTAGGGTCGCGTCAGCCAGCGGAAACGCGCGTTGACAGATTCCTCGGCGCTCGCCTCAACTATCAATGAACTGGTAGAAACGGAGCGCACGTACGTGAAGCGCTTGCGGTCATTGAAGCACGATTACGCGGATCCTTTGCGAAATTTCGCGAGAAGCAAGAACACCGCTATTATCCCGTCCTACGAGGCCAAAATCCTCTTTGGCAACGTCGACAATCTCCTTCCCGTCAATGAGGCCTTCTTGATTGATTTGGAGAAGATGCTCGCTCCCAATGGCGTGAATGTGGTGGGGGGAGTGGGAGACGTTGCGCTTCGCCACTTCAAGGAGTTGCGGGGCTTCGAACAGTACAAGCAGTACTACGGTAAACGCGAGGACGCGCAGCAGATCTTTGAGCGGGAGATGGCGAGAAAGGCGTCACCATTCGCGGCATATATTGACGTGCGTTGCTGGGCTGTGTTTCTGCGTCCAATTTTCATATATATTCCTCTCTTAGCGGATTAAATATCAAGCTTCGGAATCGAGAAATCGAGTGGGACTCCGCGAACTTCTCATAAACCCCGTGCAACGAATACCCCAGTACACTCTGATGTTTCGAACGATGATCAAGTACATGGCTCCCGATGACCCACAACGTGCTAGATTGGTCGAGGCAGACGATCTGGCTAGTAAGATTGCATTGGCAGAACCGGATGAAGAAACCAAACGAGCTGCGGTGTTTTATTGCCTCAGCACGACAATCGATGGTTTCCCCCCTGACTTATTTTCCAACTCTCGGCGCTTCATCGACTGTGTTGACGTCGAGGATATTCTATCCGACGCCCCGATTTCCTCTGCTGCTTCAGTCAACAGCTCTTCTTCAGGATCGCTTCATTGCACCCTCTTTCTTTTTGACGACAAGATTCTTATTGTCAAACGACCCGGAAACGGCGAGAAAAGTGGCCGCGCTCTCGCCGGTCTCGATGAGCTTGATAAATTGACAAAGGGGACTGGGCTGCCCAGCGTCAAGAAGAAGAGCGGCATGGCATGCAAGGGAGTGTTTGATGTGACTGAGGTTGCTGCTACTGACGTTGGCGGCGCAGGTGCGAGCGAGCCTTTCACTTTTCTAAAACAATAAAAATGAAATCTTACCTATATAGACATCAACCTATATTTAGAGAATCCTCCCTATGACCAGAACGAGCGGTGGTCAGGGCGCCCTTTCCGGTCGTTAGTTGTGACTCAGCCTGCACTGAGCAGCTCGAGTTCTACCCAAGCCGAGACAGACAAGCAGAGATTCCTGGAGAATCTTTGGAAGGTCCAGGCTACATACAGAGCGCGGGCTGGCCAGTCTGTAATTCTTCGTTCAGAGGATATGGAAGTGGAGTCAAAGGGTGGTCGGGTCACTATCGCTCGCACGTATTACAATGTTTATCAGCGAACGGCCTTCCTTCAAGAACTCAAAAAAGTGAGCGAAATTTGTAATGTTTAGAACACTGCTTAGCTATTCTTTGTTACAGACCAAGATCGTGGTGCATATTGATGCGCTGGGTTCCGCTGATAAAATCCCTTTTGGTGTGGGAGGTCCACCTTTTGGGGTCATTCGATTGCAACCTCTGGCAGGCGGTGTTTGTCGGTATAAAGTCACTTCAAGTGATCCATCTGATCCTGGCGAAGAAGATATTGTTCAGACCTCCCGGGTACCTGCCCGTATTGTACTCACTAGTACGTTGAAATTCGTCTTCGAACCTCGTACTCACATCATTGTACCAGTTCACCAATTTGGTTTGTTTGAGTTCCGGACGGGCAGGAACTCTTTGCCATCGACTCCAACCGCTCGTTCCAGAGTAGCTATTTTCGGCCTGGATGCCATCTCTAGAAATCTCTTCAACTCTCGCCCTGGGTCTGCAATGGGTGACTTATTCGGAGGGTCTGTCAGCAGTCACCGACGCACCAAATCCACGGCCAGTCGCTCATCCACGTACACCCAAACTACAACGTCCGGGAGCCTGACCGCCTTCTCTCGTCGGTCCAACTCTACGGCCACGACCATGGACGACGATTCATTCCGCACCAGGTCATCTTCGAGGTCACGGTCAAGAAGTGTCCTCAGGAAGGGCAGGTCCCCTGGTGGGACGCCAGAGCCGGATAGTCGGCCTCCAAGTCGTAGTGTATTGAGACCTGGTTCGAGAAATGGCTCCCGCTCGACGTCGAGGGACCGCGAAGACCTTGAATATAGTGATGTCGAGGATGACGACGGCACCATTCTGGATCATGTCCGGCACACGGACTCTACAGACCTTGCCTTCCAGCTGGCGTTGGCCAGAAAGAACAGCAAGAACCAGCACGGGAAGTCATTTATCCCTGTTCCTCTGCCAAACCCATCCGGAGACACTATTTACGAAGGTATGTGTCCTGCTCGGTGTATTCGATGTATATTAGTCTTATTCGACGCAGATGAACCACCCCGACGACCGCTTTCGCGCGCCTCCAGGCACGCGAACAGTCAGAGTTCTGAGCCCCCTCAATCAAGTTCTGAGCCCCCTCAATCAAGTTCTGAGCCCCCTCAACCAAATTCTAACTCTAATCCTCCAATAGGGTCCCCTTCACGGCAATCGCGATCCCAGTCGCAGCACTCTTCTGAGAGACGTCCGCTAGGGCCGAGAAGCCCTTCCCCACTTCCTCCGCCGAAAACTCCTCTCATGGAGGCTTCCACGACTGGATTCCCTTCTATGGACGACGACTTTGCTCTCGAAAATGCCACAAGACAACAACAGCACTCCGTCCCGGCTCGAGCTACCGCCATTCCGCGGAGTAAACGACAACCCTTCTTCCCCGCTGGTAATATAGATGCAACTCCTAAATCAGCTGTTTCCAATATCCCTACTTCGAGTGGCGTTGAACCGTTGGCGATTAAGAAAAAAACTTCGGTGCACGCTACAGAGGTAGCATCAACGACGACGGAAGTGTTGCGGAAACCTCCCGCTCGGATCTCTCCACTATCACGAGCGAAAACTGTCGATTCTCCGCGGAGAGTTTCGCCTAAAGTGCGTAGTGCAACGAGGGCATCTACTATGCGGAGTCCGCCCAAGAACGAGCCGCACCGGCTGCTTCAGTTGTCCCAGACGACAAAGGAAAATGTAAAGGACCAGCCTTCTTTGTCGCCAGTACTCTTGAGCTTTATCTTCATCAGGTCGAGTCATCACACCGAGCGCTCAAGCGCATTAAACTGGAAATTGATGAGCTTGGCTCGGGGTGTGGCGCGGACGAAATAGTCCGGCCAGCTTCACCTAGCAAGGCATTGCGCACTCCCCAGCGCGGTGGTCCAATGGTGAGGGCTCACAAACGCAATTGATGGTCTTGACGAGTATGTCTAGACCCCGGCTGCTCTTGAACGGATGGAAGAGATGCGGCAGCTCATAAATCAGCGGCAGGGCGAAGGCACTCCTCGCAGTCGCCCCTTCAGCATGGCGGCGGACACTCCCGTGCGAGGATCTGGCCCAAGCCGGACAGGCAACATCTGTCGCTCATTGACCACATTGGTTATTGAGGCTGAGACCGGCCTCATACGTGCCACCTCGAACCATGAAGCTTTACTGAGTGGTATCGAACAGCTGACCGACGACGTCAAAGATGTAATGCGATTTCTTCTCCTTCCTTTCTACCTAGACTCATTTCCACGGCTTCGATAGAAATCGGCCGACCTCGAAAAGACACGGCTTGAGCTTCAGAACGCTCGAAGGCAGTGTGAGCTGGTCAAAAGTTTACTTGCCGATGCCACCGCAGAGAAGGAAATCATGTATGAGGTACGGGTTCTCCTTCTATCTGTCGACTTCGAATTCGAAACGCTAATTTTGTATAGGCCTTCAATGAGGAGTTGGACAGTATGTACAACGACGCCAATCTTCCGGACGATGAGGCGTGGTTATCTATGTCCACCGACCTGCGGAAAACGAAAGAGGCCAGAAATGCGTTGATGAAAGAAAATTCGTAAGTCAGCTAGGATACTTCTGGGATGCTCTGACAAAATATGCTGCAGGCAATTGAAGCGCCGTCTGGCAGAAACTGAAATGCAGCAAGAAGAGTCCGTTTTTTTCCTTTTCCGTTTTTTGTTGTGTAAGCTGACTTCGCTGAAGATGGAAGGCCCTCTTGCAAGCTCATGGACTAATCCCCTGACATGAATTCATGTATATTTCTATCTATTCATATGTTTCCGAATACAATTTCATGCGTGCTGTTGACT